GTGTAAAGTGTGTTTGTCGGGGGGGGGGGGGGGGACGGCGGACGCCGCTCTTTGCTTAGTTTTTGTTTTGCCCTGAGGTTGCAAGTTCACATCGTCCCCAACATGGAAAAGCTTCATTCTTTTTTGGTTTATTTTGGAGTTTGAAAAAAAATAATAATTAAAATTTTGAATTCACTTATAATAGTTTATGTATTCGTGTGGGTTTCCAAAAGATGGATCCGTTGTGGATTGATCAAATTAGGGCAATAAACACATTCATCATATCTGCTCCTCACTGACACCCACACTGTGTGCACTGGAAATCCCCCTTCTCAGGGCTTCACTGCCTCAGGGAGGACTACAAGTGTTCCCTCCTTTCCCTAGCACAGTTACTCTCTTCTCTTCCTTCTATGTCCTGAACTGTCCTTGTCAGACTATCTCAGGGATTTCCTTTTTCTTGTTCCCCTAGATTTTTGTTTGTCTTAATTTGTCAGTGGGTGTGAGCCCTTGTCTGAGAGAGAGAGACAGAGAAAAAGAAAGAGAAAGAGACAAAGACAGGGAAATAGCACCCCCTCCATGGAGCCTGTTCATACTGCAATCCCTTCTCCTTTTCTCCATCCTACAGGGATTTTGAGCACCCACAAGAGCACCCAGTGTATTCTTTTTTTTATTTGGTGAGGGGGGAGGTTTTCACTATAGGGTTCATGCGCTTTCCAGAAAAAAACAGAGATAGAGTGACAGAAAGTGAAAAATGACCCCCCAGGGGGATGGACATGCTGCAATCCCTTCTCCTCTATTCTCTCGGAATCTTGTGCATGCACACCCATGCGCCTGGCGTGAGTTTAAAGCCACTGTGTCCAGGACTCAAACTGTAGACGGCTACATGGGAGTCCAGAGACATAGACATTATGCTAACTGCTGGTCCCAACCCAGTGTATTCTTCAAGCCTCCCAGTCGATGGGGATTCAAACCACAAACCACCAGTTGGCCACGTGGGATCTGACTTCCTTAACCACTAGGCCACTGAGTTGGCCTCATCTTAGCGATTTTTCCTACCTTACCTGTAAGGCACCTGATATTTGTAGGAAACACAAGAATAATCAGAAAGCTGCCATGCAAATTCAATGTACTGCTTTACTAGGCAGAGAAATCAAATAAAGCCTTCCTCTCCATTCTTGCCCTCCATGTTTATGGCATAGAAGGGAAGAATAGTGACTGCAGTTTTACCAGAAGATTGTATAAAAGAGAAGACAGACATTCAGGCTGTCAGATGTAGTGGATATTACATTACTCTGCAGTCTGCCAGTCAGCAAAATCCCTGCTGGGTCTGTGAAATTTCAGACCCAGAAAGAGTCAGTCCATGTAGCAGTTTCTCCCAGAGAATGAATGGCATTGGTGGGACAATAATCTTGTATTTTTTGGCTCTTATGCTGTGCTTTGTGAAAGTAGAAGGAGAAACTCAATTTCTGTGTAAAAAGGTGAACCTTAAGTGTGCAATATGGTTGAGAACATGGTGAAGGAGTAAGGGTAAAGGAATGACAAGTATGGTCTTGGGTTGTGAGTGCTAGTTCCTAATCAGGCTATTTTGAACAGTCTTTAACCCATGTCTCAGTGAAAACAAGGTCAATGCTCAATTGCCTCACAGCTGAGCCAAGTGACAATAGACGGTATTATGTGAATAGGACTTATATGGGTGCATTTGGAGTGTGAATATTTTGCTTAGTTGGTTTGATCCAGTTTTTGTTGTTTTGTAGATTCATTTCTTCCAGATGGGTGAGAGAGAGAGAAGAAGACAGAGAGAGAGAGAGAGAGAGAGAGAGAGCGCACCCCAGATAGCGTCTCGAGTCTACAATGCATCCCTGACTCCAGCAAGCCCTTGATCATGGGTGCATACATGCTTGGCATACCAGAGAGAGAGAGAGAGAGAGAGAGAGAGAGAGAGAGCACCCCCGATAGCGTCTTGAGTCTACAATGCATCCCTGACTCCAGCCAGCCCTTGATCATGGGTGCATACATGCTTGGCATACCCTGGGAGGTCACCTAGGGAGGTCTTCATACCCTATGTCCTTCCACATGTATCAACCTCTCAGAACTTGGAGTTTTACCCCTGCACCACTGTCTGTCACCTCCTCCAAGACTGGAACCTGCTCTTCTTACACAGCCTTCTTCCCTCCATGCATGGGGCTCCTATGGGGTGACTTTGTCCCCTCTACTCACCCTCCCTCCATCATCACCATCTTTATTCATGTTTTATCGACTGAGTCCTGGAAATCTGTTCTAATCCTCACTGAAGCCTATTTAATCCCTTTTCTCATAGCTCTTCTTGACTATTAACCACAACATAGCACCTAATCACATTCATAGAGACTTTCATGGGTTACTATCAATTTCATGTTGATCCATTTATTTTCAAGATAGGGACCAAAGTATATGTTCTCTCTGTACCCTCACAATACTCACCAGAAGTTGAGCATAAGAGATACTTCTTTTGTAGAAATTTTTTTTTAGATTGATAATTACATTTTAAATTATTTAACTATATTTTAGTAACTAGTCATATGGCTCAAAAATAAACCAAATAATTTTAAAGTATACATACTTTCCCCATTTGGATTTTTTTTTTGTGGATACATTTATTTTTTATTTTTTATTATCATCATAATCTTCTTTATATTACATTGGATTACATATAACTTTACAGTGTATTACATTGTTTTTTCAATAGGGAATGCCATGCATGTCAGTCAGTACAGAGACATTAATCTCCCCACTTCAAAATTCAGTATCTTTTCTATGTTTTCCCCATCATTATTTTTATTATTCTAATTATTTTTTAAAACAGTCAATCACTATTTCTCATTTTGCTTGTAAAAATATTTGGCCCATCATGAAATACTTCTCAGACCAATCCAGTTGAGAATACTATACATGTCATCATCAACAGTTAATAAGCCATATCTGTTTCTCACTAACGTCCTGCCTCTCTATTGTTC